TTCAAGCAAGTGTATGCCAGTAGTATGTAATGTATCGTGATTTTATAAAAAAAAATGATTAAAAAGTAGTAACCCATTTAGAGAAAGTGTTTATTTACAAATATTGATTCAATCGATTCAATTGATGCGCCTTGCGCATCTGTCAGCGATTTATTTAAAAAAATACGTTGATTTTGATAAAACGATTAATTTTTTATGACTTTTGTTTTATTGCTGCTATAAGTAAGTAATAATTAATCATACGAACTTACGAACTTTCTTGAATATAATAAAATATATGCATGTTATACCTTTGGTCATAATTAATGTTCTATACAACATCTATTTGGTTTATGTTAATTGTTATAGCTTATAATATTTGTATCGATACATACGAGGTCTGTTCAAAAAGTATAGCGAATTTTTAATTTCCGCGGGCTACGTAAATTTCATTTTTTTGTAGCTTCAGTATGTTGGTACTCGTGTCCCTCATTTATGCTGACAAAGTCGGCCATTTTGAATGTTTAGTTAATTTTTGACAGCTGTTTTGCTTGGATGTGTTTTGGCTCGTTTTCGACTTTTGCCTATTCTAAAAAATGGATCAAAGAATCTAAATCAAATTTGTGTGAAAAACAAAATGAAGTGCGCGGACGCATTCCGAATGTTGACTCTGGCATATGGTGAATCAAAGCAACGTTTATCGATAGTACAAAATGTTCTCAGAGGGTCGAGAAGATGTAAATGACGAACAACGTGCCGGACGCCCGAGCACGTCAACAACAGACGAAAACATCGATAAAGTGAAGAAAATAGTATTGACCTATCGTCGTATCACCGTTAGAGAAGTTTCTGAGGATCTAAACATATCGATTAGCTCATGCCATTCGATTTTAACGAATGATTTGGGCATGAGTCGGGTCGTCGCGAAATTCGTGCCAAAACTGCTGAATTTCAACCAAAGACAGCATCGCGTTAACATTGGGAAGGAAATGTTGGACTCGGTCTGTGACAACCCAAATGTGCTCCAGAGGATCATAACTGGTGATGAATCATAGGTTAATGGTTGTGATATAGAAACCAAAGCTTAATCATCCCAATGGTAGCTGCCGCATAAGCCAAGACTGAAAAAAGTGCGCCAAGTTCGGTCAAACGTGAAGGTTTTACTCATAATTTTCTTCGATTACAGGGGCGTGGTGTATCATAATTTCTTACCACAGAATAGTACGGTTAATAAGATATACGAGGGTGGTCCGATAAGTACTTAGCCTACAAAAGAAAAACGAAAATTTTGGAAAAGTGGCGCTTTATTTTTCAACATAGTCTCCTTTTAGTTCGATACACTTAGCCCAGCGATGCTCCAACTTCTTTAACCCGTCTGAAAAATACGTTTCCTCGAGGTCTGAAAAGTAAGCTTCCGTGGCAGCGATTACCTCCTCATTCGACTCAAATTTCTGCCCGGCGAGTGACTTTTTCAAGTTTGGAAACAAAAAGAAGTTGCGCGGGTTAAATCTGGAGAATACGGTGAATGGGGCAGCAGTTCGTAGCCTAATTCGACCAATTTGGCCATGGCGACGGCGGAGGTGTGAGCCGGTGCGTTGTCATGGTGGAAGAGCACTTTTTTCTTCGCCAAATGGGGCCGTTTTTTTTGCAATTCGACGTCGAATCGGCCCAATAATTCGGCATAGGACAGCCCTGTGACCGTTTTGCCTCTCTCCAGGTAATCGATGTAGATCACACCTTGTGAATCCCACAAAACGGTGGCCATCACCTTTCCGGCCGAAGGGTCAGTCTTCGCCTTCTTCGGAGCACTTTCGCCGGGTAAAGTCCACTGTTTCGACTGTTCTTTGGTCTCTGGTGTATACCAGTGGAACCATGTTTCGTCGACTTGTCACGAAACGACGCAGAAACTCCTTCGGATTGCGCTTAAACGGCGTCAGACATCGCTCTGAAGTTGTCTCACAGTTGTGCTTGTTGTCCGGAGTGAGCAAACGCGGCACCCATCGCGCCGACAGCTTTCTCATATCCAAAATTTCACGCAGGATATGACCCACGCGGTCTTTTGAGATGCCTACGATCTTAGCTATCTCGCGCACCTTCAATCGTCAATCTGCCAATACGAGATCGTGAATTTTTGTTACGTTATCCTCCGTGGTAGCCGTTTTCGGAGCACCTGGACGTGGCTCTTCAAAAATCGACGTGCGACCACGTTGAAACTCGTTAAACCAATTTTTGATGGTCGCCATCGAAAGAGAAAAGTCACCAAGAGTACACAGTATCCAAGCGCTTTTTGATTTCGCTGCGCGATTTCCCTTCCAACAACAAGAATCGAATCACCGACCGATACTGCTCTTTTTCCATTTTTCAAAAATCAACGGACACACTTGCTTTCACACGCTCTCAAAAATAAACTACAACTCCGATCCGGCTGAAATCTTGACAGTAAGCATCGAGAAGGTTGTACTACGTGATAGAATATTTCTTTTGCGAGAGTGGCGCCATCGGGCGGTGAGGCTAAGTACTTATCAGACCACCCTCGTATGCAGCTCGCAAAAAAAAATCGTCAAGAGTGATTTGAATTCATTAAGAAACTTGCACCAAATCTGTTTTCTAATATTCTTACTGTTTACTGGGATGGTAAGTTACTTTCTGGAATATTAAGAGAAAAGATTGATAGATTGACTATACTAATTTCAAGCATAGGATAGAAAAAACCCCTAGATCTGCCAAAGATTGAAACAAGTAGTGGGAAAAATCATGCTCACATTGTTTATCGACTCTGATAGATTAGTCTACGTACATCAATGTCGAAGCTTCATTATTTATGTGGAATTATTTGAGAAATACTTGCTTTATTTGATCTGCAGGTATTACATTCTTAAGTTATCATTAATGCGTGCTAAAATAAAATTTTGTAAGGCCAGTAGACCTAACGTAGTATAATTTACAAAATTTGAAAATTTTTAGAACAAAAAACCGACTACGATAATTTAGTAATAGGAATTGCCTATAAAATTGTTGGTGTATGTTACGAGATGATAAAGCTAACATTTTTAATTTCTATTTAGAGCAATTAAAAGATCAACCCAAAGCAGATTACAAAGAATTTCTTCAGTTATAATCATTTTTCTTGGCAGAAATATGCCTAAAAACGTTCGCTTTTATCCACCTGGTCCTATACATCATGCAATATAAATGGCAAATCATATATATTGCTTAATAATATTTATTTTTTTGCAAACAATTCTTGATAAATAACAAAAAAAAATTAATAAAAATACAAAGACGTTTGTATTTTCATAATAAAAGTCTATGCACAAGCCTAGTTTTCTGCAACATCTGCTGTTCATACATTGAATCAAGATTTGTAGTTGTTGAAGAATTATATAACAGTATTAACGAAAATATATCACAAGCTGCAGTGAAGAAATTCCTAAAACATTTATGGTAGTTAACACCAGAATTCGCAAGATTAACGTATTTCGATTTTGAAGTATCAAATAAAGAAAAACTCAAAATGTGCGATGCTTTGAAATCGGATTACAGTAATTTTCCGTATGAAAAATGAGATATTACAAACGAAAAAAATTGAACTGCAACCATAAAGTTGAATTTACATGACGTCGCATGAAAAAAATCTCTTAAATTTTTTAAACGCATAAAAATTGATCCATCTTTTTTATCAAAAAACTGATTAGAAAAAAAATTAAACGTTTGTTCTCGGTTTAAAAGTTATAAAAAATCTGAAGGTCGTAATCATGCCGCTGAAAAAGTAATCAAGTTGATTACAGAATTCAACAATTTGCACACTATAAATTATCAACAGACATAATATTTACTACCAATCATAAAAAGATATAAAAGTGCTTTTCCAATCAGTCAGAAAGAAGCTTTATTAAAATTATTTGAATAAATGGTTTTTTCATAATAAAATGAATATCTAGTTCTAACTTTCTATCTCAGCATATAAAGTTTTTCAGTGAAATTAGTTATGTAAATATTGATATCTAAAAACTTTGTATGTAGATTGTTGTATATTTCCTTAAGAATCTACATCATAAAATGTATTATAACTTATTTTTTAACATTATGATTTTCGTTTATTGAGATATAAGAAACTATAAATTTATGTTTTCAACATTTTTCGAAATATTTGCATATACATTTTTATAAATTGTATAAAAATTTTTGAAACCAATCAGTACCACATGATTATGTCATTAAATACAAGCTCAAATAACCTTGAAGCCAAAGTTTGAAAAAGAATTCAAAATTTTTGATTGGTCATGAAGGATCAACACTGTAATTTATTTATGAGAAACATGAGGTAATTTCATGAAGGAAAAGTCAATCGGAGATTATTCGGTTGGATGTGCACATTATTTTTGAAATATATAACAACCGGTATTTTCACCCGGCAACACGAAAAATAAAAAGAAATTAATCAAGCCCCGGCCTAGTTTATTTGATAGATTTTCACTTCTAACGCTCTTTATGTAGATTTTATCATAAAATTCAAGAAATTGAATTTCTCATTTATCTTAAAATTCACCCTCTTCATAAAATAGATAGTGCCATTGTATTTAACATAAAAATGTATATCGAAAATATGTATAATAAACTGTGATAGTAGTTGTGGATTAAGTTGCCCTTAATTTGGATGATGAAATTATTTTTCGAAGGATAATTTGCATGGCTCAGAACAGCTAACAGATTTGATTACTTATTTGATTTAAATTCTAGGATAACTCAATATTTTCAAAAGTATGATATATGTTTTCGATGTATTGTTTGTCGTAGAATGCGATGGTAACATTTATTTTATGATCAAACCTAGATAAGAAGCACTAGACGCGAAAAATCACGGAAATACAAGGAATTTTTAAGGATTTTAACAATAATTTCACTTTTAACGCTTTTTAAGTAAATTTTACGATAAAACTGATAACGACATCGTATTTATATATTTATATATATAATATAAATTTGCATTGAGTTTCAATGATTTATAAAAAAATTTATACCTTTGACAAAGGAAAATTCCATGATGCTAGTTCTCTTGGCGATTTCATCAGCTGAAAACTTATTTCTTGCATTTTTGTTGCCATTTCAGATAAGGCAAATCAAATATAACGGTATTATTCTGTAATAATATATGTTTAATATAATTGGTGAACTTAATAGTGTACATTACAATCATTAAAAAAATAATTAATCTCCATTGCTATTTTCACATGCAGATAACATTTGAGTTGAAATAATAATGTTGATTATATTGATTAAATGTGTTTTATAAAATTGAACATTTTTTTTAGTTTTGTACACGCTTATTTGTCTGTATATATAATCGTAGATCTGTCAATTTAGCTTGAATCCTATTAAAATAGACCTATTATTATTTTTTGTTTTTGGACATAATTTTTAATTACTGAGATTTTTCGCTAGAAACGCAAAGAAAGGAGATTTACGTAGATTTTATATAAAAATTACTCTTTGAAAGAGAAAAATATTAATTTCGCGATGTCAATAAAAATATCGTTACTCCTAATGTGTTTCCCTTGTGACGGGCGAATCGATCGTTGAATTCGATCGCCCTGTTCGCCTCTCTCTCTTCCGCGTGCCTTCCCCTGAGCCGCTGCCACATTGGTCTTGGTTGAGTAAAACCGAGTATCGACGCACGATGTGGCTTTGTTTCAGGTCTGATTCCTGATCGGCGGAGATGCCTGGCGTTGGATGGATAGGCATGAGCGGGGAGCAGAGGAGGAGAGAGAGAAATAGTGTCGCCGGCATGAGTCGCACATGTGTGCGTAGCCGGCGGCGCTCGGCCGTTTTTGAGTACCTATAGGGAGGGGCGCGTAAGAAATCGCGGAAGGCGCGAGATCGCGGTCAGTAGGGTTTTGACCGGCGACTAATTGCCAGCTAATCAAGCCTTGATTAGCTGGCAATCGAACGACCATCGAACGACCATCAGCAAGAAGGAAGACCAGCTGCATCCAGAATCCCGCCTTTCGAGGACAACATCGTTTGCTCAGAGGACGCGGACTTCCGCAGCAGCGCTCCCTCCCAAGGTCAGGTACCCCTTTTTGTTTCTTGGTGCGTACCTCGATTTCTCTGTCTCCGAGCATCATATAGGCCGGACGCGGACGAGCGGTTGCATGCGTGAACTCGCATCGCCCTCGCGGAATTCGCGGGACAAATTGTAAGGTGATGTTCTGTTTCCTGTGCATTAATTCGCACGGAACGAACTTAGCCCGGACTCGGCCGACGCACACGTCAAACGCCGAATGTACATTATTGTTGCAATAAAGAGTAAAATAGTTGAATTGATGAGTTTATTCTGTTTAAACCTGTCTCTCTTGTAATTAGTTAAATTGCGATTATCGATATCACCGGACGACCTAGCCCTCGTTAAATTTTCGCGACGAAGCGAATGCGCCTTCCGAGCCTTTCCCCTTAAATAATTTGTGACGCAACGTTGTTCGGGCTTAAATTGTTAACGTACGTGTTACACAGCCCGACAAAAAAAAGTCAACAACAGCGAGCCAGATCAGTATATTGCTATGTAATTTTGAGCTCTAAATCCGATATTGGTGTTACAAAAATAGAAACACTTTTAATAAAATATTTTACGATTAAAAAATACCCTTTAAAAGAAGGTGAAAATAATATTAAACACAGAAAAAAGTTATTTAACCAAAATTTCAAAGAAAGGTAACCTAAATTAAAATTGAAGACTTATTCATGTAACAGACCTAAAATTTACCATACCTAAAGAATAAACCTATTCTCGTAAGGTCGTGAATACTCCTATATTTGTAAAAAAATTATAAACTGCGAAAAAATTAAACTTTCAGGAGAACCAGGAATAAATTAATATTAAGCAGTACGTTCCTAAAATAGGCTGCAACTGGTCCTTTCAGGGGGATAAAACCATATTACATTTTTATTTATTTAAAAAAAATTACTTAACTGCTAAGACTTTTACGAATGCAGAAAACGTTATGTATTTGTTTGTATAATTGAATTATTCATCTTGTAATATCTTTTGCATTTATTTTCAAACGATTATCTTATCGGTTGGCGGAAAATTTGGTTTGAAATAAAGGGAGCTTTTCGATTTTATTTTATTTTGGAGTCCATTTATTACTCAAAAGGTTTACAAAATTTGAACACAACTAACATTAACGGGAACGATTGTACTGTTCGCATTTATAAACGAGAAATTAATTTATGTGAAGTCTGAGGAAAACTTTTTAACGTATCGATCAAAATTGTCTTATGGCCCCAGAACGACTCTGCTATAGGCTGTTCGATGCAAGGCTCTTTGCCGCCGATCGCTAACAACAAAGATACTAATAAATCGTTCATTAGTGCGATCAAATGTCACCGATCAATGGGCTCATTACTTAGCTCTCCACCACCACGAGGTGAGATACTATGCTTGCTCATAATTCTTCTAAAAATAGATAGCATTAACTTACAAGCGCTCGTGCACCTGTGTGTCCACTCGCGAAGAACGATAAGTGGAAAAGTCAGCTGTTTTGATGAAAATTATGTTAGAAAATTTTCCTAAATGGCTAGTCGAGTTACCTGATGATTCGCTAACTTGATGTTGAAAAAGGTAATGCAAAAAAAAAGAACTCTTATATGAACAGACACAGAAAAAATAATACACGTTATATGAAGTGAACGTCACAGTATAGAATATGTTATTGTAAAAATAATGGCTGCCGGGGAAAAAGATTTCTTTAAAATGTGCATGTTTATAATATCAAAACATTTCATAGAAGACATTAAAAATTTCACTGCTTCAAAATGATTATGAGACTTTTTTTTCTACTAGAATAGATAAAAAGCTAGCTAAGAATTACCACAAGGTGGTTAATCATCCTCGAACGGCGTATGATTCCTGAATTACACGTATTTCAAGGATACGTAAATCATATTATTTCAAATTTATTATTACTTTTATTGGACGTGAGAAAGCTCTTATTTGACCTAAAACATTGAATATAATTTCCAAAAACTACCACGGCGAAATACTTAAAGACAACGTGTGACGGAAATTTTTAAAAGAATCTGAAAAATTGTTTGATCCAGAAATATGCAACCTACGAAACGCTATTTTTAAGTGGCGTATTAAACATTAATCCCCTAAAAACCCTTTTAGATTAAGTTACAAAAAATGAATACTCCCTAACAGTTTTACCTAATAATGAAATCAAAATACAAATAGAAAATTTAAAACTATACTCTAACAATAACCAAATTATAGAAAAAAAATATCAACTTTTATACACTTCCTCAGACGCCATGTGGACTTCCAGAACCTGTCACTATGACTCAGAGATTCCGGGAAGCACACCGTCTCTTCCGAGACCCGTTCCTAGGAGAAGGGACGTCACCCCACCGGTAACCCTTCAAAGAGGAGGTGAAGAGGTTCAAGAAGATTGCGGGAGATCCGCACCAGTTCAACAGAGAAGTCGAAGCGGATCGTCTGGCACCGTTCCTTATTTATCCTCAGGGCTCTCCACAACCCGAGATATTAGAAAAATTGTCCGCGAATGGAAATTAAGGTTTGCAGGCAGTAGGGCATGGAGCGTGGACGTGTTTCTGTAACGGTTAGAAGACCTGTGTGTGGGCAAGACTAGCCGAAGACAAGGAGCTTTGTTCCGTATCGGAGATCCTCGAAGATAACGCGAGGACCTGGTACGATAACAATAAGCACCAATGGCTAAGTTACGCCAAATTCATCGCCGATGCCCGAGAACGGTTCGGCACTAGTACACAACAGCAACAAAGGCTGTTGCAGGAAGCGCAGAACCAGTTTCAGGGCGAAGACGAATTAGTGAGAGACTACGTGTCCAACCTTGTAGCTCTTGTAAATCGGTTGGAACCACCAATGCCTTTAGAAAGGTTATAGGACCTGCTACATGCAAACCTCCTTCCGAACATCCAGATTCAGCTACGTCGTTCCAAATTAACGTCAACACGCGAATTTAACAGGAGAGCGACCGAAGTACAAAACACTTTGTCATACGGTTGGCGTCCACGCGTATTCACGGACCCAAACTCGCCGATCTTCCCTCAGCACGCATACCAGCCGAAAAAAGAACGGCTGGTAATAAATCTCAAACCGCTGCAGTCCAGAACCCTGCCACTTCTACGTAAAATGGCCACGGAAAGGCAGGACAGCCCTCCAGAGCAGCGCAAAAGCCGATGGCGTGGGAGAAAGAGGAATTCACCTTCTCCCAGATCTCCTTGCGAGCGGCAAGAAGGACAGAGGCAGAAAATGGATTTCACAAAGCTTCTTCAGTGTTCCGCTTGTGGCAAACTGGGATTCAGCCGTAAGTTCTGCCCAGATTGCAACAAGGAAAACGGCAAGGAGAGCGAAGAGAAGAGATCATCTTCGCGCCTCCAGTGAATTCGACCTCTTGCCGCGGGTCGTCGACAGGAAAGAGCAAATTGTCGGCGACCCAGGGATCTAAACAGGTCCTAGTAGGGCATCAAGAGGACCTGGAACTTAGCAGTACTACGGAGCAGAAGGCGATTGAGCCCGATGCCAGCCCTTAGCAGAGTAGAAGGGTGGTCATCCTGGAAGGACCACATGGTCACATACAAGTTGTGGAGGAGGGAGAAGACTCGATAGGTATGAGGATCGAGCAACTCGAAGACCTGAAAGGTTCGAGCCCAAATAAATCTCAAATTGTCAATAGGTAACTTTAAGATTAGAGCACTCTATGATACCAGCACCTCATCTACGGCAATGGGTCAGTGAGGGCTGAGATTTGCATCGGAGATGAGACTCGGACTGAACGTGACCAGGGCAGGCGATGCAAGGCTCGCCGATGAGCGCCCATGTCCCATCATTGGTCACGTGATGTTCCCCTTTAAGGTAGGGGGGATCACAAGAAAGATAAGAGTCACCATTACGCCACTGCTCACGAATGACTGCTACGTAGGTGCGAACTTTATAAAAGTTTCGCGCAGTTTTAGATTTTGAAAAGGATAAATTGTGGCTCAAGGACGCCCAGGTAAAAGTACTTATGTAAGTGACGGGAATTGATGGTACGGCGTTTCTCGTACCGGTAGGACTGTGGGAGGCCTCGGAAACACAACTCGAGGAAATTGAGGACCTCGTCA